AAAAAGGGCCAGAAATGTGTTTGTGGTCGCAGTCCCGAGGGCAATGCTCCAGCTCAGATCGCCGTGGTGCTTGTACGATGGATTGGAGTAAAACAGCTCCTAATGAGGCCTCACGCGATCACTTTAGGGCATCGTCTCTCTTCAAGCGTAGCCTTTGCATGAAGTTATTATTTATTGATGGTGGAATTTGACCATCTGGGCGTACAGCTTCCTCCCGGTCTATACTTGAGAAGCACCCCTCCTGGTCATTTCCTGACATGTGCCCCCAGTGCTGCTGTGAAGAAGATAGTTGAGTTTGCTTCCTTGCTGGGACCACATTCAGTGTTGGTGGCACTGGGCCACCGCTAGCTTGACTCGTCACCAGCACTCACAGCAGGCGCGCTGCTCCCCACTGTTGTTGAGAAAAACTTTCACACTTCGTTCACAAGTTTTGCATCACGTCTCACCGAGTGCATTCCGGGCATTGCAACTATCTCGGTAGGGAGAAGCCACTGCCCCTCCGTGCCTGGTCTCACCAGATCGCCCACCCTGGTGAGACGTGCGTCTACCACGCGTTTCTCCACGGCAGGGCCCACAAGAGAGAGGGTTAGTGCCATGTGCGGGTTCCGCAACAGTGGCTAATTCTGATGCCGACCGGGGTGTATTCAGTCGGGCGGTGACGAGGAAACCCCAGGTAATGTAGGATACCCCCTGTAGAAGTGGGGAATCTGCGCGAGTGGAATACCCGTAATGTCCATGAAGAAGGGCTGCCTGCTGCACTGAAGGCCCCCCCCTCCCCCCAGGTTATTTAGAAAAAAAGGATCCTGTGGTACACAACATGGGCGATGGGGCCGTGTCGAGAAACCTCTGTACTGCTCGCAGGCGAAAGGTGGAGAGTTGGCTCCGTACACACACCAGACCTTGCCCGCCCTCCAGCAGTGGCAAGGCCAAAGGTGCCAGCAGCCACGCGGTGCTTCCTCTGCGACCAGAAGGAAGGCAACTATCAGTCTCTGAAGTTTCGCTATGAGGCATGCGGGTGGAGTGCGGGAGAAGGAGCGGTGCCACAAGGCGGATGCAATCAACTGCTTCACCACCAGCGGTTTTTTTTTCTCTGAACGCGAGAGATTTGCACAGGCGACCCCCAAAGGTTCTGCAGTAGTTTCCTCGCCTTCTCTTCCAAAAAAAAAAATCACAATTATTATGCAACGTGATCTCTTTGGTTCTTTCGGTAAAGTCACGCAGGTCGGAAAAAAATGTAATATGTATTTTTTACTACCTACCACGTGACTTTACCAAAAGAACCAAAGAGTATGGATTCCTGCAGTCACGCAAGCTTCAAATCAAGATTTTCTGCAACGGATTATCTCCAGGTCCCAGGAGCACGCCGAGATGATGAAGAAAACTCTTTTGGCTCCACGTTATTGTTTTGGTCAACTCAGTGGAACTTCCCCACAAGCAGCCCACTGCACTTCTCCCAGCTCATCCTGGAGGAGGATGCACGCGGGGAGTAAACCTCTGGGCACTTGTGCAGCCGTTCGATGTCGTCAAAGCTTCGTAAAAAGGGGAGAACGCCATCGGCATACGCTGTGAGAGCCACTCTCATCACCGGGCGCCTTTTAGAGTCAATCGGGTGAGTCGGCGTCGCAGTAGACGCAGAAATGGCTCCACGGCGTGGATGTAGAGCTGTCCTGACATAGGACAGCCTTGCCCGATGCCTCTTTTGAAGTCCACAGGAGCAATTGGTCCACCAATAACTTTGACTAGACACTGGGCCGTGTTGTAGAGCAACCTAATGAATCCTATGAAGCTAGTCCCAAAACCAAAAGCTTTTAGAGGCGTTATTGCCAGGTTCGTTATCTTCCCACGTAGTTATTCGGCTCAGGGAGTACCTGATCCTGTCCCTTTCTTTTCCAGATGATGACTTTCCCTGTCTCTCGAAGCCCTGCTCAACGTGGAGTAGGGAGGCTATAAATGCCTCCACATTTCGCCACCTTGACAGAGCTGCAGTCACTCGTTCTTCCGAGCCATGCACTGCATCTAAAATGTTCCACAGCTCCGACTGTGAGAATGTTGGTGCCACTTCAGTCAGCTCAGCAGATGTGGGGCTCACCCAACTTCCTGTGCCGAGGTCTTCTTCCACCTCCTCTTCCTGAGCTTCCCTCCGCAGCCCCGAGGCTTTGAGGATTCTCTGCCACTGTGCTATCCCCTGTCGTTTGCTTCATTGGGTGATGCCGCTTGCCCTTCCATTGTCCTCGCCCAGGTCACCCACCGGCAAGTTTGGTTAGTTGGGTCCTGTTTGGGGGCCTCTTGGTGGTCTCGGCTGCTCGCGTTTCCTGGGAGCCCCCGGCCGCCTCACTGGGCGAGTCGTCGAGGTCTGAAGTGTGAATCCTCTTCGCCACTGCACAGATTGCGTTTCCCCTCGCTTCTATTTCAAGCTACGAAATTTTCTGCAGGCGTCCTGCGCTTGAGCTTGGTTCATGCACGGGGGCTTCTTCCCTGTGCGTGTCCCACCTCCAGGGGCATCTGGGCAGTTCTCCGCGTCTCCCGGCAGTTCTCCGCGTCTCCCCCAGGCGTTGGTGCGATGTCCGACTCCATCTCGAGGAGATATTTAAAAGGACCGAGCTCATCCCCACTTGGCTCTGGAGATGACGAAGCTTGCTCCTCCGTAAATGTTCTCTTCAGAGGTCCGGCTGTCAATGACGGCTGTGCGGCTGGCTGAGCCTCAGTCTCCGTGGCAGTAGCCGGAGTTGGAGCGTGGTCCACTGCCGTCTCGCGTGAGCTCTGTGGTGAGTTGAGGGCTCTCCCCTGAGTCATCCGTTTGGTGTTTTCTTTAACAAACTTTTCCACAGCCCCCCCCCCCTCGCTGTTGGATTGGGCATTTGCCGTCTTGGGGCAGTGTTTTTTTAACATTCTTCCAACTCATTCACTTACCCACTCGCCTTCCCGTTCACACACTCACTCACTCTTCCACTGAAACCCACAACCACAAACTCAACCTCTCATTCACCTACCCACTCGCCTTCCCATTTACACACTCACTCACTCTTCCACTGAAACCCACAACCACAAACTCAACCTCTCATTCACCTACCCACTCGCCTTCCCATTTACACACTCACTCACTCTTCCACTCAAACTCACAACCACAAACTCACCCTCTCATTCACTTACCCACTCGCCTTCCCGTTCACACACTCACTCACTCTTCCACTGAAACCCACAACCACAAACTCACCCTCTCATTCACCTACCCACGCGCCTTCCCGTTCACACACACACACACTCACTCTTCCACTCAAACTCACAACCACAAACTCACCCTCTCATTCACCTATCCACTCGCTTCCCATTTACACACTCATTCAATCTTCCACTGAAACCCACAACCACAAACTCAACCTTTCATTCACTTACCCACTCGCCTTCCCATTTACACACTCACTCACTCTTCCACTCAAACTCACAACCACAAACTCACACTCTCATTCACCTACCCACTCGCCTTCCCATTTACACACTCACTCACTCTTCCACTGAAACCCACAACCACAAACTCACCCTCTCATTCACCTACCCACTCGCCTTTCCATTTACACACTCACTCACTCTTCCACTCAAACTCACAACCATAAACTCAACCTCTCATTCACCTACCCACTCGCCTTCCCATTTACACACTCACTCACTCTTCCACTCAAACTCACAACCATAAACTCAACCTCTCATTCACTTACCCACTCGCCTTCCCATTTACACACTCACTCACTCTTCCAATCAAACTCACAACCATAAACTCACCCTCTCATTCACTTGCCCACTCGCCTTCCCATTTACACACTCACTCACTCTTCCACTGAAACCCACAACCACAAACTCACCCTCTCATTCACCTCCCCACTCGCCTTTCCATTTACACACTCACTCACTCTTCCACTCAAACTCACAACCACAAACTCACCCTCTCATTCACCTACCCACTCGCCTTCCCATTTACACACTCACTCACTCTTCCACTCAAACTCACAACCATAAACTCAACCTCTCATTCACCTACCCACTCGCCTTCCCATTTACACACTCACTCACTCTTCCACTCAAACTCACAACCATAAACTCAACCTCTCATTCACCTACCCACTCGCCTTCCCATTTACACACTCACTCACTCTTCCAATCAAACTCACAACCATAAACTCACCCTCTCATTCACTTGCCAACTCGCCTTCCCATTTACACACTCACTCACTCTTCCACTGAAACCCACAACCACAAACTCACCCTCTAATTCACCTACCCACTCGCCTTCCCGTTTACACACTCACTCACTCTTCCACTGAAACCCACAACCACAAACTCACCCTCTCATTCACCTACCCACTCGCTTTCCCACTCACTCACTCGCCCATTCACTCACCCTCTGACCGCGACACTCACTCAACTCATTCACTTACCCACTCACCTTCCCACTCACTCACCCTCCCACTCTTCCTCCGACCACACCACTCATCCTGCAACTTATCGATTGACCGCAACAGTCGCCCTTCCACTCATCCACCCACTCGCCTTCCCACTCACCATTCTACCACGAAATCACCCTCTCACCCGCCCACCCATCCTCCTACTACACGCTCCCACTCACCTACCCACCCACTCACCATCCTACCACGACACTCACCATTTCACACACCCACCCACTCACCCACCCTCCTACCCCACGCTCCCACTCACCCCACCCACCCACCGACCCACGCACAATCGACGTGTCGAACGTCGATTGTGCGTGGTGCCTTTGGCCACGTGGCCTATTCAATTTCATTGACGCTCGGACCGCGCTGTGTGGTGGTCTTGACGACGCAAACCTGAATCGGGGATCGCCACGTGGCCTAACCCACGAATTGAACGACGAGCAACGAATGAACGAATGGATGAATGAATGAATGAACGAATGTCCTTCTATCCATACCGCTCACTCCCCCACTCCACTCCAACCTCCCCCCACCCCCCCCCCCCCCCACGCACAGACGGGGGTGCCGCTGCTGCTGTGCGTGGCTGCCTGCGGGATGGTGGCCGCCCTGCTCCTCTACGGCTCTCTGCTCCTCCAGGAGGACTTGATGGTCGTGGGGAGCCACCCCGGGGGTCCCCTCTCCCGCCCGGCGTCCCCCCACGGGGAGAGGGGCATGGACCCCCGCGGAGTCTACATCCTGCCGGGGTACGCCTCCATCCACGGGCAGCAGGTGCGGCCCACTCCACGTTACCATGGGTTGTGAGGTTGGTTGTTTTTTTTTCTTTGTCGGATGATGACAATGCTGCCGTTGATGATGCTGATGATGGTGACGAGGCTGCTGATACTGCTGCTGATGATGGTGATGATGACGAGGCTGCTGATACTGCTGCTGATACTGCTGCTGATGATGGTGACGAGGCTGCTGATACTGCTGCTGATGATGGTGATGATGACGAGGCTGCTGATACTGCTGCTGATACTGCTGCTGATGATGGTGACGAGGCTGCTGATACTGCTGCTGATGAGGATTATGGTGACGAGGCTGCTGATACTGCTGCTGCTGATACTGATGATGATGACGAGGCTGCTGATACTGCTGCTGATGACGATGACGAGGCTGCTGATACTGCTGCTGATGAGGATTATGATGACGAGGCTGCTGATACTGCTGCTGATACTGCTGCTGCTGATGATGACGAGGCTGCTGATACTGCTGCTGATGATGGTGATGATGACGAGGCTGCTGATACTGCTGCTGATACTGCTGCTGATGACGATGACGAGGCTGCTGATACTGCTGCTGATGAGGATTATGATGACGAGGCTGCTGATACTGCTCCTGATACTGCTGCTGATGATGGTGATGATGACGAGGCTGCTGATACTGCTGCTGATACTGCTGCTGATGATGACGCCGATGCTTCTGCAAACAATAAGATGATGTTGATGATGCCGATGCTGCTGCTGAAGATGCTGATGATGATACTGATGATGATACTGATGATACTGATGATGATGATATTGATGATGTTCCTGCCCATGATGAAACCGATAATACTGATGATGCTGCTAACGATGCTGATGATGATGCCCTTGACCTCGGAACCCGTTGACCCCAACACCCCCCCCCCAACCCAACCCCCCCGCCCGCCTATCACAGCCGCTGCGCATGCGCTGTGGCGACTGCGCCCTCATCACGAGCTCGGGCCACCTGCTGGGGGCGGGCCTGGGCCCCGCGGTGGACAGCACGGAGTGCGTCATCCGCATGAACGACGCCCCCACGCGCGGCTACGAGCGTGACGTCGGCTCGCGCACCACCCTGCGCGTGGTGGCTCACTCCAGCGTGGCTCACCTCGTCAAGGTGGGTGGGCGGGGCGGGGGCGTGGTCGGGGGCGTGGCCGGGGCGGGGCGGGGCTTTGTGACGTGGAAGGTGTCTCGCCCACGTGCTGTCACGGGGAGCGGTCTAGCGTACCCCTGCTACTACTATTACTACTATTATTTTACAATTAATACTATTACTACTATTATTACTATTACTACTATTATTTTACTATTACTACTATTACTCCTATTATTACTACTACTATTATTACTATTACTACTGTTATTTTATTACTACTACTATTACGACTAATGTTATTATGACTATTATTACTATTACTACTATTATTTTACAATTAATACCACTATTACTATTAATACTACTATTATTACTATTACTACTATTATTTTACTATTACTACTACTACTACTATTGTTACTACTACTATTATTACTATTATTGTATTACTACTACTATTACGACTAATGTTATTATGACTATTATTACTACGACTAGTACTATTATTACTACTAGTATTATCACTATAATTACTACGACTATTATTACTAGAGGCCGACCGAAACTGAATTTCTGATTTCAGCCGAAACCGAAAGTTAAAAAATTACTTTCGGCCGAAGCCGAAAGTAAACCGAAAGTAAAAAATTAACTTTGAAACCGAAAGTTAAAAATTAACTTTGAAACCGAAAGTTAAAAATTCACTTTGAAACCGAAAGTTAAAAATTAACTTTGAAACCGAAAGTTAAAAATTAACTTTGAAACCGAAAGTAAAAAATTAACTTTGAAACCGAAAGTTAAAAATTAACTTAGAAACCGAAAGTTAAAATTAACTTTGAAACTGAAAGTAAAAAATTTACTTTGAAACCGAAAGTTAACTTTTTGACTTCGGCCGAAACGGAAACTAATTCGAAAGAGGCCATTGGCCAACTCTCGGCGCCGAAACCAAAACCGAATTTCGGTCGGCCTCTAATTGTCAGACTTCGAATCTCGGTATCAACACGCGTGTAGACTGAAGCGAACGCAACACATAAAAGCCAAGGCGGGCAGGCGGCTGAGAACAGACAACAGAGGCACTTTGTTGTCATCTCGCCAAAGAGACTCCACCCACGGATGGAGATGCAGGCTGCCATCTCTTGACCGGTCGGATATACATTAGCAGACTGCATGGTTGTGGCTGTAACCTCGCTCCCAAGCTACTTCTGCTGCTGCTGCTGCTGACGTGTGTGTGTGTGTGTTTGTGTGTACGTGTGTGTGTGTTTACAACCTATCGCATAGGATTGCCTAGCGCCGACTGACCGGCCGATAGGCAGAGTTGATAGACGTAGCACTTAGCGTTAAATTCTAAAAACAGATCTTCGGTTGACGAACGACGACCGAAAGTCAATGTCCCGTTTCGGCCGAAACCGAAAGTAATTTTTTTTTTTTACTTTCGGCTGAAACCGAAACTATGCCGAAAGAGGCCATTGGCCGACCTTCAGCGCCGAAACCGAAACCGTATTTCGGTCGGCCTCTAATTATGACTACTGCTATTACTACTACTACTACTATTCCTACTACTACTATTATTGCTATTATTACCACTATCCCCCACGCCACCCTCCCCGTCCGCCCACGGCAGCACCACGGGCACTTGCTCTGGGCCGGCAACGCGACGCACCCCGGCGCCGCTGTGGTTTTCTGGGGCCCCTCGGACCGCATGCGAGCCGGCGGAAAGGGCCCCACGTTCGGCCTCCTGCGGCGGCTCGCCAGGGCCGTGCCTCGCCTGCGGGCCCACATCGTGACGCCCCGCAAGATGCGCACCTTCGACGAGCTCTTCAGGCACGAGACGGGCAAGGACAGGTGAGCGGGCGACGGTCGGATGATGATGATGATGATTGGTTGGTTGGTTGTTGTTGTTGGTGGTCTTGTTGTTGTTGTTGTGGTTATCATCTTGTCGCTCTTAAGGAGGGATTTGGGTTTTTGCAGTCGCCTCAAACCTCTCTATACACCCCCCATACCAACCCACTGCTACGCACGATCGTTCCCCCCCCCCCTTCCTCACCCCCCCCATCTCCTCCCCCCCCAACTCCCCCAAACCCCTCACCTCCTCACTCCCTCACCTCCTCTCCCCCACCCCCACAACCCCCTCACCTCCTCCCACCTCCTCCCCACCCACCTCCTCCCCACCCACCTTCTACCCCTCCACACCTCCCCACCCTCACCTTCTCTCCCCCCCCCCACCACCACCTCCCCCCCCCCACCTCATCCACCCACCCCCACCCCCCACTTCCTCTTCCCCGCTTTCCACGAAGCCCACCCAGAGACACAGCAGCCCGACCCCGTGTCAGTGGTGGGGCTTCAACAGAGCTTGGCCCTCTCTGAAGTAGAAGGGGCAGAGAGAGAGCCTACACAGATTCTGGTCTTCGGGGTGAAGCCAGCGAACTGCTACCCGAACTGACCCCGTCCCCTACCCCCACTGACCCCGTCCCTACCCCCACTGACCCCGCCCCTACCCCCACTGACCCCGCCCCTACCCCCACTGACCCCGCTCCTACCCCCACTGACCCCGCTCCTACCCCCACTGACCCCGCTCCTACCCCCACTGACCCCGCTCCTACCCCCACTGACCCCGCTCCTACCCCCACTGACCCCGCTCCTACCCCCACTGACCCCGCTCCTACCCCCACTGACCCCGCCCCTACCCGAACTGACCCCGTCCCCTACCCCCACTGACCCCGCTCCTACCCCCACTGACCCCGCCCCTACCTCGACTGACCCCGCCCCTACCCCCACTGACCCCACCCCTACCCCCACTGACCCCGCCCCTACCCCCACTGACCCCGCCCCCTACCCCCACTGACCCCGCTCCTACCCCCACTGACCCCGCTCCTACCCCCACTGACCCCGCCCCTACCCCCACTGACCCCGCTCCTACCCCCACTGACCCCGCCCCTACCCCCACTGACCCCGTCCCCTACCCCCCCTGATCCCGTCCCCTACCCCCACTGATCCCGTCCCCTACCCCCACTGACCCCGCCCCTACCCGAACTGACCCCGTCCCCTACCCCCACTGACCCCGCTCCTACCCCCACTGACCCCGCCCCTACCTCGACTGACCCCGCCCCTACCCCCACTGACCCCACCCCTACCCCCACTGACCCCGCCCCTACCCCCACTGACCCCGCCCCCTACCCCCACTGACCCCGCTCCTACCCCCACTGACCCCGCCCCTCCCCCCACTGACCCCGCCCCTACCCCCACTGACCCCGCTCCTACCCCCACTGACCCCGCCCCTACCCCCACTGACCCCGTCCCCTACCCCCACTGATCCCGTCCCCTACCCCCACTGATCCCGTCCCCTACCCCCACTGACCCCGCTCCTACCCCAACTGACCCCGCCCCTACCCCCACTGACCCCACCCCTACCCCCACCGACCCCGCTCCTACCCCCACTGATCCCGTCCCCTACCCCCACTGACCCCGCTCCTACCCCCACTGACCCCGCCCCTACCCCCACTGACCCCGCTCCTACCCCCACTGACCCCGCTCCTACCCCCACTGACCCCGCCCCTACCCCTACTGACCCCACTCCTACCCCCACTGACCCCGCTCCTACCCCCACTGACCCCGTCCCCTACCCCCACTGACCGCGCTCCTACCCCCACTGACCCCGTCCCCTACCCCCACTGACCCCGCTCCTACCCCCACTGACCCCGTCCCCTACCCCCACTGACCCCGTCCCCTACCCCCACTGACCCCGCTCCTACCCCCACTGACCCCGTCCCCTACCCCCACTGACCCCGCCCCTACCCCCACTGACCCCGTCCCCTACCCCCACTGACCCCGTCCCCTACCCCCACTAACCCCGCTCCTACCCCCACTGACCCCGTCCCCTACCCCCACTGACCCCGCTCCTACCCCCACTGACCCCGCACGTACCCCCCGACCCTGACGCCTGCTGTATGCATGTCCTCCCCCACGGTCGTGTGGATTTTTTCTCCGGGTCCTCTGGTTTTTCCCTTTCGACATTTAGAAACATGCGTTGAAACCAGAAAGTGTCTGTGTCTAACTGTGTTGTTGGCCTGACTGGATGTGGCTTCACATAATGTTTTTTCAGGTTTGTTGAATTCTCGTCTCTCATCTTTTTGTTGTATTTTACCTCCGTGATTTGTTCTTGACACCTGATGAAGATCGCTTGCGTTGTGATCGAAACGTCGTGATTGTTCTTTGTTTTAATATAATTTTATTGTATTTCTACACACGTGACTTTACCGAAAAAAACCAATGAGTAATTTTATGCAGTCACGAAAGCTTTAATACTTTATTATAATTTTGCTGCTTTACATTGTCCAGTTTGTTGAGCTATCCTTTGTGGCCAGGTCACTTTTGACAAATAAGTGAATGCCTCAGTGGGCTTTGCCTGGTAGAATGGGGATGGTTTAGTTTAATGTGTATATGTTTGGGTGGTTTTGCATTGTGTTTGTTGTTGTAACGTTCTTACCCGCCCCTACTGGACATCTGTTAAAGAAAGAGTTGTAGAGCTCATCGGATTACTTCAGTATTAATCAATATTCTGATTCTGATTGAAATTAATATCTGGTGCAAGTGTAGTGAGTCATTCAGAGACGCTATTTAGGAGGCAACAACGTTTATTCTACACTTTATGCAACACCATTACACACGGGACTAAATGCACCTATTCTAACCATTGTTACGCATAAGACCACAATACAGTAAAACCTTGGATTGCGAGCATAATTCGTTCCGAAAACGTGTTTGTAATCCAAAGCACTCGTATGTCAAAGCGAATTTCCCCATAAGAAATAAGGGAAATTCAGATTATTCGTTCCACGACCCAAAAATATTCATGTAAAAATTATTAATACAAAATACCTTTTTTATATTTTTATTATTTAAATTTAATATAAAGTAATCAAATTTAATCGTGGCTGGTGTGAGGGAGACGAGAGAGAGGAGGAGGGTTATTGTGTAGGACGACTTTCACTGCCATATGTTGGCTCACTGGAATTTTTTTTATTTTGTGCGACTTTAACAAGGAACCTATCCCAATGACGCCCGCTTTTCGCCTCCTTTTGAGGATTTCGCGGAAATTATAACATTGCATTGTAGTTAAAACAGATTCATCGCTCGCACTGCTACAGCCTCATTCACGGGTGCCATTGTTGCAGCATAGTTACTAAAGAACAGTCACTCCACTTGGACACAAAATAAAAAAAAATGCTTTACGCACACACACGTGGTCACAACACTGTAGTAAATAGTATACACGTGGTCACAACACTATAGTACTGTAGTAAACAGTATACACGTGGTCACAACACTGTAGTAAACAGTATACACGTGGTCACAACACTATACTGTAGTAAACAGTATAGACGTGGTCACAACACTATACTGTAGTAAACAGTATACACGTGGTCACAACACTATTGTCCTGTAGTAAACAGTATACACGTGGTCACAACACTATATTGTAGTAAACAGTACACACGTGGTCACTATACTGTAGTAAACAGTATACACGTGGTCACGACACTATAGTAAACAGTATACACGTGGTCACAACACTATACTGTAGTAAACAGTATACACGTGTTTCGATTTAAAGCTTTCGTGACTGCAAGGATTCATCTTCTTTGGTTCTTTCGGTAAAGTCACGTAGAATGAGAATAAAATAATAAATTGATAAAATAAAATAACACTATTCTCACGACGTTTCGGCCACAACACAAGCGGCCTTCATCAGGTGAAGGGACGAGACTGTCTGGAGGACAGCACTGGAGTGTCCTCCAGACAGTCTCGTCCCTTCACCTGATGAAGGCCGCTTGTGTTGTGGCCGAAACGTCGTGAGAATTTTATTGTTTTATTTTATTATTTTATTCTCATTCTACGTGACTTTACCGAAAGAACCAAAGAAGAAGTATACACGTGGTCACAACACTTTAGTAAACAGTACACACGTGGTCACAACACTATAGTACTGTAGTAAACAGTATACATGTGGTCACAACACTATACAATACTATAGTAAACAGTATACACGTGGTCACAACACTATACAATACTATAGTAAACAGTATACACGTGGTCACAACACTATACAATACTATAGTAAATAGTATACACGTGGTCACAACACTATAGTACTATAGTAAACAGTATACACGTGGTCACAACACTATAGTACTATAGTAAACAGTAAACGCTCGCACAGATGTTGACTATACGAGCGAGGCACGCCGACTGAGACCGAGCATGGGAGACGATTACCCACAATCCCGCAGCGAGAGAGAGAAGAACCATTGGCTCAGTTGTGATCACGTGACGCTCGGCAGTACAAAGCGTACACGCACTACTCGTATTGCAAGACCCTCGCTCGTTTATCAAATTAAAACTCATTAAAATGTTTTGCTCGTCTTGCAAAACGCTCGCAGACCACGTTACTCGCAATCCAAGGTTTTGCTGTACACCTATTTCTCTTGCATACGGGATAACTGCAATCGGGTCAATCGATGTCGAAGACGGGGACGAAGACGCAGCACTTGGGTTCAACTTCGCCTGCAGACAGCCCGGATCTGTGATCGGGGCTTCCTTTTTATCTCTCTCGGCGCTCGCCTGGCTCCGCCCTCGGCCGCGCCCTACGTCCAGAATATTCCCGACGGTTCCAGGCTACACCGCACCTGTTCTCTTTCTGGCTCCGCCCATAACCACGCCTCTTTCGGGAACTCTCTAGACATTAAATTTCGACTTCTTTGGTTCTTTCAGGAAAGTCACGTAGAATGAGAATAAAATAATAAATTGATAAATAAAATAACACATTCTACGTGACTTTACCGAAAGAACCAAAGAAGATGAATCCTTGCAGTCACGAAAGCTTTTAATCGAAAAATTAAATTTCGATTTAAAGCTTTCGTGACTGCAATGATTCATCTTCTTTGGTTTCTTTCGGTAAAGACACGTAGAATGAGAATAAAATAATAAAATAAAGCAATAAAATGCTCACGACGTTTCGGCCACAACACAAGTAGCCTTCTTCAGGTGAAAGAACAGTACTGTCGGGACGACAGAGCTTGTCGTCCCGACAGTTCTGTTCTTTCACCTGAAGAAGGCTACTTGTGTTGTGGCCGAAACGTCGTGAGAATTTTATTGTCTTATTTTATTATTATATTATCTCTAGACATTCTCAGCTACTCCCCCCCGTGCCCCATTCGTTCACCTTTGGCCCACACCCCGGCCCATCACGTGCTTCACCCGGTGTCGGAGTGACCTGTCCTCACATGGCCCCTACCACCACCACCGCACTCTTCCAGTGGCACACTGTTTGTGATTCCCTGCGGCGCTGGTCGAGGCTGCAATCCCCTACTCTGTCGGTAGGACTCATCAGGCTTCCTCATGCTAGCACCCAGTACCATGACCCTAGTGACCCACTGAGTGGTACTGCACGGTGTGTTAGCCTCTGTGCATATTTCAACGGCACTCGGCGCTACGCGCCGTAGTAACCCATTTAACGTCGCTACACCAGTGTGCAAACATCAGCAATAGGGGGTTAAACCGTGGGCCTGGACGAGATTACAGCCACCAGCTCCCCAACGCTCTGTGAAAAGGCTACATGCACACACACGTGTGTACATACACACGTGTGTGTGTGTGCAAGTACACACGAGGCTCATGTGCATCCCGTATATGATTGTGAATACAAGCGTGTGGCCTTGTGCGTGTGCCCACAGGTAGTGCCGGATTAAGATGGTGTGGGACCTGTAGCATATGTTATAAAGGGGCCCTAAATGAAAAAAAAAACACACACTTAAATATTAAAACACAAATTTTTAACTTGCACAGTAAAGTCATTGTATTTTTTCATTTGCTACACAGCCAGATAATACCACAAATCGCTAACCTCAAACACCCAGTCGTTCATAAAAGTTGAAGGCAGTATAGTACTATAGTAATAGAGCAAGTGCAGAACCGCTGAAACGGAATTGATAGCTTGAACGCATTTAGCGTGGGGCCCTTTAAAGTGCGGGGCCCGTAGCATCATGTGTAGCTACTTTTGCTACTAGGATAATTCGGCACTGCCGGCCTTCATAGGTGCTGCTCGCTATCAGCCACTTGCCCCAACAGTCTGTTAAGGCTACACGGGGGATCTTCTTCTTTGATCTTTTAGTGCCCACAGGGTTGGGAGGGGTGGTGTAACGGTTAGAGCGCTGCACTATGAACCCGGCGAGCCGAGTACGATATCCCGCTCATGGCCAACACTGGCGACAAATATCTGAACCGGTCCTGGGTCTCTCCTAGGTCGACTCAGCCTCAAATGAGTACCTGGTGAAGTGTGTAAACATCGTCACTGGGGAGACAAATGCGACCGGCGTGGTGCTGGCCACCAGCCCCCTCGTGTGCTGTGCTGGCCTTCATAGGTGCTCGCCAACAGCACTTGCCTCAACAGTCCGTTAAGGCTACACGGGGGATCTTTGTCTTTGTGCCCACAGGAAGTCATCGCAGTCCTGGCTGAGCACTGGCTGGTTCACGATGGGCGTCTCTCTGGACGTGTGCGACCGCCTGCACGTGTATGGGATGGTGCCCCCCAGCTACTGCAAGTGAGCCAGTGGCCCCCCACTCCATCACCCAACACAACCGCCGCCCCCCCCCCTACATTACACCACGCAGCACAGCTCCCTACGATACACCAATGATGATGACGCTCATGATGACGATGACAATGACTTCGATGATGACAATGATGACGAGGATGACGATGACAACAACAATCACGGTGATGACGGCGACGGCGACGATGTTAACGACGGAGACAATGACGATGATGATGATGACGACAACGATGACGACGACAATGGCTTCGGCAATGACGACGATGACGACGACGATGGCTTCGGCAATGACGACGATGACGACGACGATGGCTTCGACAATGACGACGATGACGACGACGATGGCTTCGGCAATGACGACGATGATGATGACGATGGCTTCGGCAATGACGACGATGACGACGACGTTGGCTTCGGCAATGACGACGATGATGACGACGATGGCTTCGACAATGACGACAATGACGACGACGATGGCTTCGGCAATGACAACGATGACGACGATGGCTTCGGCAATGACGATGACGACGACGATGGCTTCGGCAATGACGACGATGATGACGACAATGGCTTCGGCAATGACGATGATGACGACGACGATGGCTTCGACAGTGACGGCGATGACGACGACGATGGCTTCGGCAATGACGACAATGACGACGACGATGGCTTCGGCAATGACGACGATGACGACGACGATGGCTTCGGCAATGACGACGATGACGACGATGATGGCTTCGGCAATGACGACGATGATGACGACGATGGCTTCGACAATGACGACGATGATGACGACAATGGCTTCGGCAATGACGACGATGACGACGACGATGGCTTCGGCAATGACAACGATGACGACGATGGCTTCGGCAATGACGACGATGACGACGACGATGGCTTCGTCAATGACGTCAATGACGATGATGGCTTCGTCAATGACGATGATGAAGACGACAATGGCTTCGACAGTGACGATGACGACGACGACAATGACGACAATGACTTCGACAGTGACGACGATGACGACGACAATGGCTTCGACAGTGACGATGACAACGACAATGGCTTCGACAGTGACGATGACAACGATAATGGCTTCGGCAATGACGACGATGACGACGACCGACGCCCTCTCTGCGCGCGTGGCGCCAGGTCCCCCCAGCACCGGCGCGTGCCGTACCACTACTACGAGCCAGCGGGCGCCGACGAGTGCTCAATGTACATCTGGCACGAGCGCGGGCGCCGCGGGAGCCACCACCGCTTCCTCACCGAGAAGCGGGTGTTCGGCCGCTGGGCCAGGGCCTACAACATCACCTTCTCGCACCCGGCCTGGCACGAGTAACGTGGGGGCACCCACCCAGGACCCACCTGGACCCACTTGGACCCACCTAGACCCACCAGGACCCATCCAGATCCACCTAGACCCACTTAGTCCCACCAGTACCCGCCTAGACCCACCAGGATCCAGCAGGACCCACCCAGACCCACCAAACCCGTAAAGACCTACATAAGCTCACCAGAACCTACCAGAACCCAATGGAACCCACCAAAAGCCATCCAGACCCAAAACCTACCAAAACCCACCAGAAGCCCCACCAGAACCCACCTAGACCCACCCAGACCCACCTAGACCCACCTAGACTCACCGCAGCCTACTAGAACCCACCAGAACCCACCTAGACCCACCCAGACCCACCTAGACCCACCTAGACTCACCGCAGCCTACTAGAACCCACCAGAACCCACCTAGACCCACCCAGATCCGCCTAGACGGAACCATAACCCAACTAGAACTGACCAGGACCCACCTACCCCACCTACCCCCACCAAAACCCACCAGAACCCACCAGGACCTACCAGCACCCACAAGAACCCACAAGAACCCACAATAACCCACCGGGATCCACCAAGACCAACCAACGCTATCCGCTGTGTCTTCGCCCTCCCACACACGCGGTGAGTGGGCCAAAAAACAGTCAGTCCCAACGATATTTTTGAAGGACGAGTGAACGATAGAGACTCACGTGGAGACCCAGAGGCTCACACAGATTGAGTTGTGATTAAGCCGGGTTCTGAAGGAATGCGAGTGAGTTTGATGGTCTCAGACCGACTATATTTTTGAAGTCAGTGAAAGATAAAGCCCCACATAGGCTCACACAGATTGAGTTGTGATTAAGCTGGGTTCTTAAGGGAAATGAGTGAGTTTGATGGTCTCGGACCGATTATATTTTTCAAACGCGAGTGAACGATAGAGACTCACATAGAACCCCATAGGCTCACACAGACTGCGTTGTGAGTGAGTTGATGGTCTCAGACCGGCCACAAATGACTGCACAAAAAGAAGGCATCAAATGAGATTTAGTTCTGCGCTTAATTTTGCCAAATTACAGCTCAGAGAAGTTAAAAAAACAGATATCGGTTTGACCGCCAGGTGATTGACGTTTCAGGAGGTCATGGGTTCGATTCCGACCCTGACGATGCCTGCTGTATATTTGGAGTTTGCGTGTCTCTCTCCCCGTGGTGGCCGCGTGGATTTGTCTCTTTATAAACGCATAGAGTAAACTTGCGTTTATAAAGTATTTGTCTCCTGCTATAAATGTCCACGTGATGATAAGCCACTTCGTTGAGCTTGTGGCCGGGTTCGCTGCTTGACAGCTCAATGGGGCCTTACCTGGTAAAATAAAAACAACTACAAGTTTAGTTTAGATTATGCACTGCACCAGGTAACACTGTTTTTTTTTAAAGACTGAGTCGACCTAGACGAGGCCCAGGCCCGGTTCAGGTATTCGTCACTGTACCAGCTCATCGCTCTCGTAGAGAGAAGAAAGAGAGGGGACGACCCAGAGAGAGACAGAGAGCGACTCAGAGAGAGAGAGAGGGGACGACTCAGAGAGAGAGAGAGGACGACTCAGGGAGAGACAGAGAGCGACTCAGAGAGAGAGAGGACGACTCAGAGAGAGAGAACGACTCAGAGAGAGAACGACTCAGAGAGAGAAAGAGGGGACGACTCAGAGAGAGAGGATGACTCAGAGAGAGAAAGGACGACTCGGAGAGAGAGGACGACTCAGAGAGAGAGGACGACTCAGGGAGAGACAGAGAGCGACTCAGAGAGAGAGAGGACGACTCAGAGAGAGAGAACGACTCAGAGAGAGAACGACTCAGAGAGAGAAAGAGGGGACGACTCAGAGAGAGAGGATGACTCAGAGAGAGAAAGGACGACTCGGAGAGAGAGAGGACGACTCAGAGAGAGAGAGGACGACTCAGAGAGAGAGAGAGAGACGACTCAGAGAGAGAGAGAGAGGACGACTCAGAGAGAGAGAGAGGACGACTCAGAGAGAGAGGACGACTCAGAGAGAGAGAGAGAGGACGACTCAGAGAGAGAGAGAGAGAGGACGACTCAGAGGAGGCGCCAGAAGGAGGAGCCACAGACGAGGAGCGTGGAGGCAGCAGCAGCCACGCGGTGGCGAGGAGCCGTCGCTACCAACGATCGCCCACCATGCTCTGCGATGCTCCACGTGTTAAGGTGTCATGGGCCAATGGTTGAGTGTTCACGTGCGGGAGGAAACCGGGAGCGTGGGGGAAACACTCTATCCCGCACAGCTGAATCAGGTGGAGCCCACACATTTTTTTGTTTTACTGTGTCGCCATTCACCTGGCGATGCCAGGTGAATGCGGTTCCTCCTCGACGTCCAAACGGGAAGGGAGTTTTACACAACATCTGCGCGTGATCCACCAACCCTTCGCTGCTGCTGTGTCCACAGCGCCGGAGCACAGGCAGCCACGTGTAGCGTAGCCACCACCACCACCGACACCGCCACCGACACCGCCACATGACTGCTGTTTGTGCACGGTCCGGTCATCGCACATGCGAGCACTTCTACCCAGGCTCAAGCCTGCTTTAGCTCACGACGAGCCCCACGTTGTGTGTGCAGAGCTGCGATGTTCGTGGCGAGCATGGGTTAGGGTCAGGATCAGGGTTAGGGTCAGGGTTATGGTCAGGGTTATGGTCAGGGTCAGGGTTAGGGCCAGGGTTAGGGTTAGGGCCAGGGTTAGGGTCAGGGTCAGGGTTAGTGTCAGGGTTAGAGTCAGGGTTAGTGTCAGGGATAGGTCAAGGTCAGAGTTAGGGTCAGGTTCAAGGTTAGTGTCAGGGTTAGAGTCAGGGTCAGGGTTAGAGTCAGGGTCAGGGTTAGGGTCAGGGTCAGGGTTAGGGTTAGAGTCATGGTTAGGGTTCGTGTCAAGGTCAGGGTTAGGGTCAGGGTTAGGGTCAGGGTTAGGGTCAGGGTTACTGTCAGGGTCAGGGTTAGGGTCAGATTTAGGGGCAGGGTTAGGGTCAGGGTCAAGGTTAGGGTTAGTGTCAGGGTAAGGGTCAGGGTTAGGGTCAGAGTTAGGGTCAGGGTCAGGGTTAGGGTCAGGGTTAGGGTTAGTGTCAAGGTCAGGGTTAGGGTCAGGGTTAGGGTTAGTGCCAGGGCTAGGGACAGGGTTAGCGTCAGGGTCAGGGTTAGGGTCAGGGTCAGAGTTAGCGTCAGGGTTAGGGTCAGGGTCAGAGTTAGGGTCAGGGTTAGGGTTAGGGTCAGGGTTAGGGTCAGGGTTAGGGTTAGGGTCAGGGTTAGGGTCAGGGTTAGGGTTAGGGTTTAGGGGTTAGGGTTAGGGTTAGAAGGGTTAGGGTTAGGGTCAGGGTTAGGGTCAGAGTTAGGGGCAGGGTTAGGGTCAGGGTCAGGGTTAGGGTTAGTGTCAGGGTAAGGGTCAGGGTTAGCGTCAGAGTTAGGGTCAGGGTTAGGGTCAGGGTTAGGGTTAGGGTCAGGGTTAGGGTTAGTGTCAAGGTCAGGGTTAGGGTCAGGGTTAGGGTTAGTGCCATGGCTAGGGACAGGGTTAGCGTCAGGGTCAGGGTTAGGGTCAGGGTCAGAGTTAGCGTCAGGGTCAGGGTTAGGGTCAGGGTCAGAGTTAGGGTCAGGGTTAGGGTCAGGGTTAGGGTCAGGGTCATGGTTCAGCGCTGATGAACTCTGCCACCGCGGGTCTGAACAGTCCCACGCCGAAAGTGCTTTATTTATACTCGCTTGGATTAAAACACAGCAAGATTGTTGTTGTTGTTGCTACGACTAAAGATATATTATGATACGATATATACTAGAGAGAGATGTGTATTTTGGAACAAGAGCTAAAGAGGCAGAGACCTTTTAAAGTGACTGACGGGTGTGGTTTTTTCTAGAGCATATATTTTGAGAGAGCCGGGAGTACACGGGCCGAGGACGCCGCAACTTGCGCGGCGCTCTCCGCGGACGAAACGTCCGACGTTTCGCGCTGGCACCGTCTTCTTTCGGCACCCCCCCCCTCTCCCACTACCACCCCCCGCTGCACGCGATGGGGTCACGCGGGGATCGAGTGGTGGCGCGTTCTCCAGCTCGTCGCAGCAGCAACAGCAGCAGAGGTTTGCAGTTCAAACCCCCCCTGGCGGCTGCCCTGGTTAATACTCGGAAGAGTTTGCATCGCGCAATTGAGCATTGAGCATTCGAGGCATGATTGGCGCTTATTTTCAATCGACAGCCCCAAGCTAGTTGGGGGACATTCCACGTTCCTATGGCGGGGGTGGATGGGGCGGGAGGACAAATCGCTGTTTGACTTCCCCACAGAGTGGTCCTTATTTTATCGACCCGCGAGGGATGATGGGCTGTGATTTAGCTTCCCAACCGGGGTTTAAACTCGCAACCTTGCGATCGGGAGCTGCTCGCTCTGGCAATAAAAAAATAGATAATAATAATATAATTTTATACACATAATATATGTCCCAAATGCGGTTTTATGGAATCTGAAATTTCTATTCTTAATCTCCTGAAGGAATGTATTACAGATTGTATTGGGCAGTTTGCAATAGCTTGTCTGGGTTTGCAGGAATAGGGGTTTGTGGAATTGATCGATTAATTGAGGTCATTAACAACTTTGCACGGATGGCTGAAATGCTGGACAATTGATGATTTAGTTGCAGGATGTTGCATGCTGTCACCTGGCATATTTAGACTAAACTAGCACAGACGCGCGCGCGTGTACACAAGATACGGACTCGCTTGTACGTGCACGACTCTGCAAGCAGTTGCTCTCAGTTGCTTGCAATCTGGTTGCGTGCAACCTGCTCTGGCTCACGCGTGGACGTGATCTGCAAAGGGTGGCGTGCAACTGCATCGCTTGCGTGTGGACACCTCCGCTGTTGCTTGTGAGCAACTCCACAAATTCGGTTGCGCGCAACCGAATTGCACACCGCATGCGGATGCCTCCACGACTGGTTGCGATCGGTTGCTTTCAATCGGCTGCTCGCAACTCGGTTGCGTTTCAACTGAATATGCTTACGGGGAGATGCACAAATTTGCGGCGACGCTTTTCATGGCCACGCGGCACATTTGTGCAACTACGATTGGTTCGATATAGAGACATTTGTTTGGGGGGGGGGGGTGGTTAGGTGGCGTGAACTTAAATGTGTCGTGAAACCCACCACCACCACCATCACCACCACCCGACACGCAGCTAACTAGTAAGGGGTTTGTCACGTCGACAAAACGTGGCCGATTCGCTACTAGTACAGCGCTAAAAGGTTGTATTGGTGGAGAGTAAAACCCACTGCAACGTTGACAATTCGACTGCCTGGGTGACGTTTCGCCGGCAATTGCAACGACCAGCATCATCAGGCGGGACAGCGGCACGAGTTTTGGAAGAGGTATAATCATAATAATCTCGCATTTATCGACCAGCAATTGTTGTTATTGACATCAATCAGCATCATCTGCCAATTATCAATCAACTACGGTACTTTGTCATTATCAGACGTTATCAATGATACGTCAGCCACCACCATCATCAATCATCTTCATCAATTACCAAATGGCAATCATCATCAACCATCGTGATCAATCAATCATCGACCATCAGTCACAATCAATCATCATCAATAGACCTCGTCACTAATCATCATCCTCGTCAATAGACCTCGTCACTCATCATCATCATCATCATCAATAGACCTCGTCACTCATCATCATCATCCTCGTCAATAGACCTCGTCACTCACCATCATCATCAATAGACCTCGTCACTCATCATCATCATCAATAGACCGCGTCACTCATCATCATCATCATCAATAGACCTCGTCACTCATCATCATCAATAGACCTCGTCACTCATCATCATCATCATCAATAGACCGCGTCACTCATCATCATCATCATCATCAATAGAACTCGTCACTTATCATCATCAATAGACATCGTCACTCATCATCATCATCATTGTCAATAGACCTCGTCACTCATCATCATCAATAGACCTCGTCACTCATCATCATCATCATCAATAGACCTCGTCACTCATCATCATCATCATCAATAGACCTCGTCACTCATCATCATCATCAATAGACCTCGTCACTCATCATCATCAGCATCATCAAAAGACCTCGTCACTCATCATCATCATCATCATCAATAGACCTCGTCACTCATCATCATCATCAATAAACCTCGTAACTCATCATCATCATCAGTAGACCTCGTCACTCATCATCATCATCATCATCAATAGACCTCGTCACTCATCATCATCATCACCATCAATAGACCTCGTAACTCATCATCATCATCATCAATAGACCTCGTCACTCATCATCATCAGTAGACCTCGTCACTCATCAGCAGGCAAGGGGGTGCCTTGCCCCCCCCCTCTTCTCCCCTTCGCCCCCCGTGGTGCCCAAAGCTACGAGTTGAGCACCAGAGAGAGATTTATTTACAACAACAGCGTAAAGCAGGGGTGGCGAACATTTTTTCATCATTCGCGGGCCATACAAAATTATCAACTAAAAAATTAAAACCGTTACATTTGGTAAAACATTTTAATTAACTCGCCCCTAATGCGATGGCTGGAACTGTTTCTCTTTGGCGAGGCGTGT